GCGGAAGGGTGGCTCCTTGATCCAGGTGTGGACGTGCTGATGACGAAGCTGAAGCGATGGCGCCACAGGTAAGTCGCCAGGTAAGTCCCCTGGCCTCCGCCTGCCTCAACTCCCTGGTCCCCGCTGCAGTGTGCTGCAGCCCTAGCTCGACTACTCTAACACAGCGCCCAGCGCTGGAAGACTACTCCCTACCTCAGTGCTACTGTGCCCAGCGCATCGACTACTGATGCTACCTCAGAACTACCTGCCTAGAATGAGGCTGGCCCAGCTATATAGAACACTGGGCCTAGTGTCCTAGGCCGAAACGGAAGAACAGTCTAGCGCCAGGAGGAGGAACCAGTCTGGCGCCAAAAGCAGTAAACTAGCGAACATACGAAACAAAAATCCGTCTGGCACCGAAAGCAGGAACCTGACGAAAATACGAAAGGAACCCAGTTTGGCTCCCAAAAGCGGTAAACTGGCAAAAAGGAACCCAGTCTACTGGACCGGTAATGATCCTACCCTAGTCTGCTAACCTATGGGCCCCTAGAACCCTACAAAACCCCTAACCCTACCGCCGGACCCGTTCGGGCCCGTGTGGGATCCATGGCATGCCACATCTTCCTCCTCCTCCCTCTCCTCTTTCTCATCCTCTTCCTCCCGCCCTCCCTGTCCAGCATTGCAATGCCTTCCACCCCCAAACCTCTCTCTTACCACAGACCACACCATGAAGGGGTGCAATCTTCCTTCTTCTTCTTCTTCTTCTTCTTCTTCTTCTTCTTCTTCTCGTTCGTGTTCATTCTTATTCGTATTCTTCGTCCTTTTCTTGCTCCTACTCCTTTCGCCCCTACCTGTCCAGTGTTGCAATGCCTGTCCACCCACAAACCTCTCCGTTACCGCACACCACACCATGAAGAGGTGCAATCTTCCTTCTTCTTCTTCTTCTTCTTCTTCTTCTTCTTCTTCTACTACTACTACTACTACTAGTACTTCTTTTCTTCCTCTTCGTGTTGTGAGGAGGTGCAATCTTCCTTCTTCTTCTTCCTCTTGTGAAGAGGTGCAATCTTCCTTCTTCTTCTTCTTCTTCTTCTTCTTCTTCTTCTTCTTCTTCCTGTTGTTCTTCTTCTCCCCCTTCCTGTGCTCCTTGTTCTTCGATTTCTTCGTCCTTCTCGTTCTTTCTCTTCTTCCCGCTCCTTTTCTTACTCTCTTATTCTTCTTCTTCTTGCTCTTCTCTTCTCCGTCCTTCTCTTCAACATTGAGTTCCTCCTCTTCTTCGTCCTCCTCCTCCAACCCCCCCCCCCCCCCCCCCCCCCCCCCCTCCCCTTTCCCTTTCTTCTTTTTCTTTTTATGCGCTGTATCCTTCATTACTTGTTTGGGATCTTC